CAAAGTAAGCTAAGCCCAATAGCCCTGGAATAATTAAAGGAAAGGCAAGATGGGTGGGCGGGGAGGGGGGGAGGGGGCGGGGGGGTTAGCTCAGCTCACTGTTATAATTGCTCTCCTGATATAATTTTTGCAAAGGCAGCTTCAGGACTACTTAGAGGGGATGGAGGGGAGCAAGGGATGGAAAACAGTCGGTTGCTGTACTTACTACCTGGGTGATGCAATTCGTGCCCCAAATGTCAGCATCACACAATATACCCATATAACACACCTCGCATGTGCCCCCTGCACCTAAAATAAAAGTTGAAATATTTTTTTTTTAAAAAAGGACACAGCCTTTGTCATACACTTCCTGGGGCTGAAATCCAAGCTTTGCCTTCTACTATGTGACTTTATGCAAGTTATTTCATTTATTTGGGACTTAAATTCCTCATCTCTAGTATAAGGATAAAATAACATTACCTATGTGTTATAAAGCCAATGAGCAAAGTAAAAAAAAAAAAAAAAAAAAAATCACAACGTGCTTCCAGAAGGCTTGCATAGACTAAAAACTCCACACATGTTAGCTATTATTATATTGTGAGCGGTGAGCAAAAACAACTTCAATGTTACGTAAAGCATCTAAATTTTAAACCATGAGACCGTATCTTCAATGTATTATAAGTGTAATTAATAATCATCATTTAAAAAATAAAGTAACAGAAGTAGAAATGCAGATGACTCTGTCAAGAAGTTTAAAGAAAAGAAGGGAAAGAAAGGCAGCTCAGGGAAAAGAAATGAAACATCTCCATTTAAACATACTCAATGGGCTTCCCACTTGTTCACACGTCTGCACTGCAGGTTTAAGTTCGAGGCTCAATACCAGCTAGTTGAGTAACATCAACCCTTAAAACTCACTGCTTTACTGATGATGCAAATGACCTGGAGAGACATAAAATAGGAGCAGAAATTTACCTTAAAAGTCACAAATTGATGTCCATGTATTAAGGGAAATTTATCAACATAACTAGAAAGCAGTTGAAGCCAAGAACTAAGGTGCCCTATGGAAAAAATAAAGCATGATTTGCACAGTTCCCAGGTTCAGGACACATTGGTAAACTAGATGGCAAGACTAGATTATTCATGCCTCCCTCTTTTAGACCATATAGGATAACTTTTTGACGCTGCCATGGCATTTGTAAGCTGTCATAGCGCTGGTGGGAGTGTAGCAGTGAGGACAACCAGAGGTCTTTTCTGTTGCCATCTTGGTTTTGCTGGGTTTTGGCCAGCCAGCTTCTTTACGGCAACCTGTTTCATCAGCAAGGTGGTTATGACCTATATCTTCTGCCCACTTCCTGTCTCATCCTGTGACTAAGAATGCCTTAACCTCCTGAGAATACAGTCCAGTAGGCCTCAGCCTTATTTTACCCAGCTTCTATTCACGATGGAGGTGCTCTGCTTCAAACTCCTCTGACAAAACCGTCAGAAACCAGAGGGAAGGCAGACACCTCAAGGTGACGCTGGCCAAGAACCAAACAGGCATCGTGTGTCCCAGTGGAGGCCAGCCCATGATGACACCTGAGCCACAGATGATCCCTCTCACACCCAGATGCTATCTAAGGCCCATGGCAACCGGATGCCACCCTGAGCATGAGGTAGGAGGCAATTAACCCCTGGTTGGCTGAATTGACCCAGAGAACTGAGTTGACCTTAAATTATCATTGTTGAATATTCTTCTAAGAAGACGTGGGGAGAGCTTGAGATAGAAATTAAATTCAGACATACTAAGCATGTAAAAATAAGGGATGTTCCGTCTGTTGCCCACCCAAGGATAATGGACTGACAATTCAGGGGCGTTAGCAACATGCCAGGCACTGTGCTAAGTAACTGACACTGATTAGACCATTTAATAATTACAACTGAATGGGTGGTTAATGATTGTTATTTCATTGTTTTAGATGAGAAGCTCAGAAAAGTTAAGTAGCTTCGTTAAGATTGCACAACTATGGCTGGGCGTGGTGGCTCAAGCCTGTAATCCCAGCACTTTGGGAGGCCGAGACGGGCGGATCATGAGGTCAGGAGATCGAGACCATCCTGGCTAACACGGTGAAACCCTGTCTCTACTAAAAAATACAAAAAAAAAAAAACAAAAAACTAGCCAGGCGAGGTGGTGGGTGCCTGTAGTCCCAGCTACTCGGGAGGCTGAGGCAGGAGAATGGCGTAAACTCGGGAGGCGGAGCTTGCAGTGAGCTGAGATCCTGCCACTGCACTCCAGCCTGGGTGACAGAGCGAGACTCCGTCTAAAAAAAAAAAAAAAAAAAAAGATTGCACAACTAGTAAATGAGGGAATCGGGTGTGCTGGGATGTTTAAGGTGCATTTCCCTTCTGAATGGCTGAAAACTGAAGTGTGGAGTCAGTGACATATCCAGCTATCAGCTTTATGCATTGGGTCCTATGGTAGAGAAAATACATCTCAGGTCTGAGCCTGAACTTTCACCCTCATGCTCCTTCATAGCCCCGTGTCTCCAGAGCCTAGGCTTCAGACATTGCTCTGGGTCGGGATTCCCAGGAAACAGACTCTGAGATGGAGATGTACATGCAGGTGGTGACCGGAAACGGTTCTGAGGAACAGCCCCTGAGAGGGAGGGAGGGAGCAGGATGCCGCAGGAGAAACTGAAGTGCAGTAGGGATGCAACTGAGGCCTCAGCTGATCTCATGGAGAGCTTTGAAGCTTGGGTGGCATTTCAGAGATGCCTTGAATTAAAGTTTCGGGAGCTGGGTCTTTATATCCCAGCATCAGTGAGTCACCGGATGCAGGCTACCCCTAAGGAGGAGGTGAAAAGTTGGATAAGGCAGCTCCCTTTGGCTAGAGACAAACTCGAGGAGGAATTCAGGGGCAAGCCAAGAAACACTGCTGGCGTCTGAGCAATGTGCGCCCTGAACCGAGAGCAGGAGTTGGCCAACAGACCTCAGCAACCACTGCAGTCCACCGGCAGCGTTCTGCCACGTTCCAGAAGCTCGCTTGATGTGGGCAGAGCTCCTCTGGGATTTGGTTGATCTCTTTTCCTGGAGAAACCTACAATGGAAAGGTTATTGAGACAAACTGATGTCTCTATGCTGAAGTGATCTTGGGACAATGACAGATACTCATGACTTCCCCCATCAACTACCCAGTCTTGATCCTCCTCACCCCCAGCTAGCACTGCTAGACCTAGACTTTGATGGTCCAGGGTGGGGGCTGCCCAGACTCTCATCCCTCGGGGTCTCTGTCCTCTGCTCACCATATCTTCCTCGGTTCACGACTGAGGTGCCCTCCATTTGTTATCAATATCTGGTCAGCGAGGACTAATAGACACCCCCATGGATCACGTGGGTGCTAAAGGTGTTCTTCCTTCCTTCCTTGTGCAACAGCAGCTTCCTCTTCTCGGCTCCTGGGTTCAAGCGATTCTCCTGCCTCAGCCTCCCAAGTAGCTGGGACTTCAGGTGTGCACCACCACGCCAGCTAATTTTTGTATTTTTAGTAGAGATGGGGTTTCACCATGTTGGCTAGGATGGTCTTGATCTCTTGACCTTGTAATCTGCCCACCTTGGCCTCCCAAAGTGCTGGGATTACAGGCGTGACCTGCTGCGCCCCGCCAGCAGCCTCTTTTTTAATGATTAGGGCCAATTAGTCCTGCCAGATGGTGACACCTCTTCTTGCTGCTGGTTGTATGGAAAAAGGAGCCTGAAGTGTCAGGGAGGCAGTCCCAGTTTAATGTGTAATGAGACTTTGCTGTGTGTGTCCCTTAGTGGAAAGAGTCCCCTCTGGGGAGTTGCAAGGATGGGAAGCACAGCTCTCTAAGGGAGCCACTGGGAGCAGTGATAAGCAGGGCAGCACTCCTTCCAGCCACTGAATCCCATACTCACGTTAGACCTCCTGGGGACACAGTGCCAGGCCTTGGTTATTGATTTCGAGAGAATATTGCATCTTGGAGTGTAGCGCCCCATCCTTGCAGGAGATTATCTCCAAGCTGTATCCTCAAAGGGTAGCTTCATTGAGCTATCAGGACAGAAGCTCCAGGGCAGTGCGGGATGTAATGGGACCGGTGAGCCCGTGCTCACTTGCACACTGTCAAACGTCCTTTGCCGTGAAGCGGGTCCCTGGGTCCAAAGGCACGTCATGCAGGATTCACATGGGTGGACCAGATGTTTTGTAAACCCTCGGATAGCGATGGTGCCTGAAGTTCTGTGGACAGGAAAGCCAAACTCCCACCAGAGTATGAGTTAATTCCTGTCAAGCAGAATCATTCCCTTCCAGAGTGGCTGGTTGGTCTCTGAGTGATTGTGCCGTATTAGGGGCTCAGGGTTGTTCTCTGTGGCTTGCAGGTTGGGTACTTAGTAGTTAGATCAGCCTTGGTGAGTTGGAGACCATGCTGTTGGGTCCATGCATAGCCTCCTTCCCTGTCACCACGGCTGCTTTGTTCATGGGTCTGTTGTGCCACTACTGGAGTGAGCAGTGAGTGAGGAGGGCTGAACCTCAGTTGGCTGAGTCATTCTGCCCCCTTGGTTATTTGGTGTCTCTTCCACGGTGAATGCTCTCTTGTGGAAACTCACGTAGGACATGACCATCTTTATGTTTAATGCTCATCCTGACAGGACCATTCATAGGCCTTGTTGTCCCAACCTTTGAATCTTTCTTCTTCTAAGTCACTAACAACCAGCCAGGCCATTCACCACTGCCAATGGATCTATGTATGTTTTAACCTCGGGCCACTTTTGTTTCTGCTCCAAGTAGATGACATTGGGAGGAAGTCCCTCGTTACGTCTTTCAGAGGCACCCCGAGTTCTCAGGGGCTGTGGTGCAGGAATAGTCCATTTTCAGCTAGTTCCATGTAGCAATCTGCCATCTGTGAACCAAGCATTTCCCTCCCTGCTAAGTAGGTAAAAAGGGACAAGCCCCTTTCCCTGCCACTGTGTGGTCACAGGTGTTAACTGAAGGGAAAACACTAGTTAGAAGTGGTGGACAACAGGCAGGACTGGGTGTCTCGGACACCTGCCAGTGCAACTTACAAGTGCCTTCTGGCCCTACTGGTGCTCCGTCATGAGAATTATTTGCAGATTGCTTGTCTGACCTTATGAGTTAGGGGGTCCTGACCTGAACCCAGGTCATGGTGGGCTGGCTGTATGGTCACTTGTTGCCATGGTTAGGTAGCAGGACAAAGCTCTTTTCAAATAGTGCATATTTTTCTGCTGCTAATGACGTGAGCTTGCTCTAGACCTAAGGGTCTGTGCTGTGATTCTCCTGTTGAGCCTTGTCTTAAATGCCACCTAGTGTCTTTTCCCACTAGGGCCTGCTGGGCTGTGTGGACCAAGCAGCTGGAACACTTGCACCTCAGCCTGGACCTGCTGCCCTGCTCTTCTTTCTCTGGGTCTCAAGCAAAACTGGCATCTTTCATGTCACGGGGTAGGTGTTTGAGCAATGTTCCCAAGGGTGGGAAGTGCTGCCTCCAGAATCCAGAGAAGTCTGCCTGGCCTTGTGCTTCCTTCTTAAAGATGGGAGGTGTAAAGTGCAATAATTTTATATTTTACTTTAGAGGGACTGTCCCAGCAAGCCCCAGACCACTGGATCCTTACAAACATTCTGATCTACGGGGTCCCTGGTCTTCACAGGGCTTCTCTCTTGTCTTTCTTCCCACCTCCAGGCAACATACTTGCTACATTTTGTTCATTCAGCGTTAATGTGTCCACATGGTGGACCAACACGATGCTCTGTGGCATGTCTACGTGGTCCCAGTCTTTTCAGCCTGTATCCTGGTATCCTGACAGAGAGCTGGAGAGTTAACATCGCCCTGGGAAGAGCCGCGAATGAGTACTGCTATCCATCCCACGTGAGCGCGAGCTGCTCCTTCTCCTCCCTGCTGATAAAGAGGAGAAACTGCCTTCATCGGATCCTTGGCTGTGTGCCATGTCTGTGGTCACTGGCTCTAGGGAAAGTACCACGTGGGCTCAGCAGCTGTGCTTGGGACTACACTCGGGTGAGTTTGCAGTACTTCACTTTCACCTTCTAAGATGTCTGTGGCTTGGAAGGAGCCTGATTAGTGAATGAAAAAGGGATATGATGGAATCCATTGGCCTTGCTTCCCCTGCATCTACTGTTTCCCTTGGGATACAATATTATTTTTGATTTACTCTCTTGGCCTGAAGGCAAACATAAGTTTTTGCTTGGCTCTCCCCACTTTGATAGCTCTTACCCTGCAGAACAAGGAATCTACACATGGTGTATTCGTTTACTAGGGCTGACATAACAAGTACCACACTCTGGGTGGCTTAAACACAAGAAATGTGTTGTCTCAGTCCTGGAGGCCAGAAGTCTGAGGGCTGGCTCCTCTGAGGTCGTGAGAAGGGATCCACTCCAGGCTCTCCCACAGCTTCTGCTGGTTGCTGCAGCCACTGGTGAGCTTTGGCTTGTAGAAGCATCGCTGGGGTCTCTGCCTTCATCTTCATGTGGTATCCTTCTTGTGTGTGTGTCTCTGTGTGTACTGTTTTATAAGGACACCAGGCACATGGGTTAGGGCTCACCCTAATGACCTTATCGTAACTCATTACACCTGCAATGACCCTTTTTTCAAATAAGTTCACATTCTGAGGTACTGAACATCAGGACTCCAATATATAATTTTTTTGGGGGGGGGGAAGACACAATTCAGCCTGTAACTTGTGGGTTCTGCCAACTGTCAAGTTACACATGGTGGACGGGGAAGCACCCACTGGGTGAGTCTATGGGCCTGATGGGCCTGGGCCAGGACTGACTTCCTTCCTTCCTTTTCTTTCTTTTCTTCTTTCTTTCTCATCTCCCTTCCCTTCCCTTCGCTTCCCTTCGCTTCCCTTCGCTTCCCTTCCCTTCCCTTCCTTTCCCTTCCCTTCTTCTTCCTTCCTTCCTTTTCTTTCTTTCTTTTCTTCTTCTTTCTTTTCTTCTTTCTTTCTCATCTCCCTTCCCTTCGCTTCCCTTCCCTTCTCCTTTCTTCCTTCCTTCTTTCTTTTCTTTTCTTTTCTTTTCTTTTCTTGATATGAGGTCTCACTCTGTCACCCAGGCTGGAATGCAGTGGCATGATCTCAGCTCAATGCAAACTCCACCTCCCTGGCTCAAGTGATCCTCCCGCCTCAGCCTTGTGAGTAGCTGGGACAATAGGTGCATGCCACCATTGTAGAGATAGGGTATTTTTAGTAGAGATAGGGTTTCACCATGTTGCTCAGGCTGATCTTGGACTCCTGAGCTCAAGTGATCTTCCTGCCTCAAGCTCCCAAAGTGATGGGATTGCGGGTGTGAGCCACCACACCCAGCCCAGTTAATAATTTCTAATGCTATAAAGGCCTCTTTCTAAATGTAAATACATGCTCTTGTTTTCATCTGGGCCATATCATTCCAACTTAGTTTTAGTCCAAGCTATAGAAGTTCACGTATTTATTTTCTTAATAATCATCTTTAGCACTCATTCATTCATCCATTTATTTTCCATTGAGTGCTTATCCATGACAGGTAGTGCCCTAGATTCTGAGGACACATTGTAAACAAATAAGAAAATAGATCCTTGCTCTTGTATAGTACGCAGAGTGTTATGGCTAATTTGAGCTTGGATTATGAAAGTATAAATACAATTTCATTTTATTCAAGAAGAAAATATGGCTAGAAGATGATCATTCATGGACTTTATAATTAGTATAATTTACAGTCTTCTTCCAACTTTAGGATGAGCATTCACAGGATTACTGAGTCACCCAACCTCACTGAATCAAATGAAATATGGGTGTGTGTGTCTGTGGGGTGGCTGCGGAGGGAACCAACCCAGGGATGTTCTTAAAGTAAAATTTTATATCCAAGTCTTTCTCATTCAGTACATCACCCGGCAGTGCCATCTGGCGGTTAGAATGAAGGGAAACATTTCAGTCCACACTGATAATTATAGGAACCTGGGAACCGTGGGGGCTCCCGTTGCTCACTTCCTAACAGGGTGTCCGGAGGGTCGTGCACTAGAGCCCCCAGTGAGTACCTGTCTCAGTGCTTAGTTGCACCATTGGGGAGGCATCATCCAGCCTGAAAGTGCCCTCCCTCATGACTCGTCCCTCCCCTCATACAAACACCGCACAGGTGGGGTCCAACCAAAAGTCCCCAGCCCTTACCCCAGCTTAGATTCATTCGAGTGATTTATTTTATTTTTATTTTATTACTAGCCACTCTAAAAACAAGAACTTTTTCTTTTTTTGAAAAAATTTTATTTTAGGTTTGGGAGTACATGTGAAGGTTTTTTTACATAGATAAACACGTGCCATGGGGGTTTGTTGTACCTATTTTTACATCACCCAGACATTAAGCCTAGTACCCAATAGTTATCTTTTCTGCTCCTCTCTCTCCTCCCACCCTCCCCCGTCAAGTAGACCCCAGTGTCTGCTGTTTCCTTCTTTGGGTTCGTAAGTTCTTATCAGTTAGCTCCCACTTATAAGTGAGAAAATGTGGTATTTGGTTTTCTGTTCCTGCATTAGGTTGCTGAGGATGGTAGCCTCCAGCTCCATCTGTGTTCCAGCGAAAGACATGATCTTGTTCTTCTTTACGGTTGCATAATATTCCATGGTGTATATGTACCACATTTTCTTTATCCAGTCTGTCATTGATGGGCATTTAGGTTGATTCTATGTGTTTGCTATTGTGAATAGTGCTGCAATGAACATTTGTGTGCATGTGTCTTTAAGGTAGAATGATTTATATTCCTCTGGGTATATACCCATTAATGGGATTGCTGGGTCGAATGGTAGTTCAGCTTTTAACTTTTTGAGGAATCACCATACTGCTTTTCACAATGGTTGAACTAATTTACACTCCCACCAACAGTGTATGAGGATTCCCTTTTCTCTGTAACCAAGCCATTATCTGTTATTTTTTGACTTTTTAATAATACCCATTCTGACTTGTGTGAGATGATATCTCACTGTGGTTTTGATTTGTATTTCTCTCATGATCAGTGATATTGAGCTTTTTTTCATATGCTTCTTGGCCACATCTATGTTTTCTGTTGAGAAGTGTGTTTATGTCCTTTGCCCATTTTTTAATGGGGTTGTTTTTCTCTTGTAAATTTGTTTAAGTTCCTTACAGATGCTGGATATTAGACCTTTGTCAGATGAATAGTTTGCAAATAGTTTTTCCCATTTGGCAGGCTGTATATTTACTCTGTTGATAGTTTCTTTTGCTGTGCAGAAGCTCTTAAGTTCAATTAGATACAATTTGTCAACTTTTGCATTTGTTGTGATTGCTTTTGGTGTCTTTGTCATGAAATCTGCCTGTTCCTAGGTCCAGGATGGTATTGCCTAGGTTGTCCTCCAGGGTTCTTATAGTTTTGGGTTTTACATTTAAGTCTTTAATCCATCTTGAGCTGATTTGTGTATATGGTGCAAGGAAGGGATCCAGCTTCAATCTTCTGCATATGGCTAGCCAGTTGTCCCAGCACCACTTATTGAGTAGGGAGTCTTTTCCCCATTGCTTGCTTTTGTCAACTTTGTCAAAGATCAGATGGTCATAGATGTGCAGCTTTATTTCTGGGCTCTCTATTCTGTTCCACTGATCTATATGTCTGTTTTTGTACCAGTACTACCATGCTATTTTGGACACTGTAGCCTTATAGTGTAATTTGAAGTCGGGTAACATCATTCCTTCAGATTTGTCCTTTTTGCTTAGATTTCCTTGACTATTTGGGCTCTTTTTTGGTTCCATATAAGTTTTAAAATATTTTTTTTCTAGTTCTGTGAAGAATTTCATTGGTACTTTTATAGGAATAGCATTGAATCTGTAAATTGCTTTGGGTGGTATAGCCATTTTAATGATATTGATTCTTCTTATCCATGAGCATGTGGTGTTTTCCCATTTGTTTGTGTCTGTTCTGATTTCTTTGAGCAGTAATTCTTTTATAATTCTCATTGTAGAGATCTTTCACCTCCCTGGTTAGCTGTATTCCTGGGTATTTTATTTTTGCGTGTCACACTTGTGAATGGGATTGCCTTTCTGATTTGGCTCTCAGTTTGATTGCTCCTGGTATATGGGAATGCTAGTGATTTTTGTACATTAATTTTATATCCTGCAACTTTGCTGAAGTTGTTTGTCAGCTGAAGAACTTTTCAGGCTGAAGCTACAGGGTTTTCTATATATAGAACCATATCATCTGCAAAAAGAGTTAAGTTTGGCTTCCTCTCTTCCTATTTGGATACCCTTTCTTCTTTCTCTTGACTGATTGCTCTGGCTAGGACTTCCAATACTATGCTGAATAGAAGTGGTGAGAGAAGGCATTCTTGTCTTGTGCTGGTTTTCAAGGGGAATGCTTCCAGCTTTTGCCCATTCAGTATAATGTTGGCTGTGGGTTTATCATAGATGGTTCTTATTCGTTTGAGGCATATTCCTTCAATACCTAGTTTATTGAGAGTTTTTAACATGAATGGATGTTGAATTTTATCAAAAGCCTTTTCTGCATTTGTTGAGATAATCAAATGGTTTTTGTCTTTAGTTCTATTTATGTGATGAATCACATTTATTGATTTTCATATGTTGAACCGAACTTGCATCCTGGGGATGAAGCCTACTTGTTCATGGTGGATTAACTTTTTGATGTGCTGCTGGATTCAGTTTGCAAGTACTTTGTTGAAGATTTTTGCATTGATATTTATCAAGGATATTGGCCTGAAGTTTTCTTTTTTGTGTGTGTCTGTGCTAGGTTTTGGTATCAATATGATGCTGGCCTTATAGAATGAGTTGGGGAGAAGTCTTCTTCCTCAATTTTTTGCAGTAGTTTCTGTAGGAGTGGTACCAGCTCTTCTTTGTACATCTGGTAGAATTGGGCTCTGAATTCATCACATCCTGGGCTCTTTTTGGTTGTAGGCTATTTATTACTGATTCAATTTTGTAGCTCCTTATTGGTCTGTTCCCGGAATCCATTTCTTCCTGGTCCCATCTTGGGAGGGTGTGTGTGTCCAGGAATTTATCCATCTCTTCTAGGTTTTCTAGTTTGTGTGCATAGAGGTCAAATGAGAATTTCTGTATTTCTTTCTTTCCTTCTTTTTGTGTTGAGACAAGCTCTTGCTATGTTGCCCGGGCTGGTCTTGAACTCCTGGGCTCAAGCGATCCTCCTGCCTCAGCCTCCCATGTAGCTGGGACTACGGCTGTATGCCTATTTTTATTGCACTTTTCTTCCACCTGACTGTAAGCTCCATGAGGGCAGAAGCCATGTCCGTTTCACATCCCCAAGGCACCAAAACCAGTATCTGATACGTGATATGTGCTCTCTGTGTGTTGAGAGAGTGAATGGGTGTAGGGGGTGCCTGTGTTGTAAATCATGTTCTGGAGGTGACCTCATCTCCTTGGAGGCTTCCCTTGGGTCAGGTCAGACGAATCCCTAGGCTCTCTCTGCCAGCGTGGTGGCAGGTTCTTTTCCAGGTCGTGTTCAGGCTGATAATTGATCAGTAGTAATTGATATGAGGAAAGACAGAAGAAACAGACAGGAACTAGAATCCGTAGATTCCTGTGCATGTGATATACGCCAATACAATTTAACACTGCTACACATGACACCACTCTCCCTAAGGGTCACTGGTCCCTAAAATATTTTCCTACAAGTATTACATGTAGACCGTATAAAAAAGTCAGTTTGGCTTGGTGTTCATGTGTTCTTCCCGCTATGCTGTAAGGCCTGCTGTGTGCTCCAGTCACTGAGGTTAGTGAGGCTGATAGGGAGTCATTTCCACTGGCAACACCCGGGGTCAAGCGTTATTCTCATACTCACAAAGCAATCCTTGGCAATTTGACCTGTGGAAACATCTTCATGATTTAGCTTTCGATTAAACTTTTTTTTTTTGTCTTAGACTTTTTTAAATTAACCTTTTTGCCTTAGAATGGTTTTATACATACAGAAACATTGTGAATATAGTATAGATCAGTAGTCCCCAACCTTTCTGACACCAGGGACCATTTTCATGGAAGACAATTTTCCACGAACCTGAGGTGAGGGAGATGGTTTCAGGATAAAACTGTTCTACCTCAGATCATCAGGCATTGGATTCTCATAAGGAGCATACAACCTAGATCCCTCGCATACACAATTCACAACAGGAGTCACACTTCTATGAGAGTCTGATGCCACCACTGATCTGACAGGATGCTGAGCTCAGGCAGTAATGTGAGCAATGTGGAGTGGCTATAAATACAGATGAAGCTTTGCTTGTTCAGCCGCCACTCACCGCCTGCTGTGAAGCCCAGTTCCTAACAGGCCACAGACCAGGACCAGTCCATGGCCCAGGGGTTGGGGACCCCTGGAATAGAAGGTTCCTGTATAATCCATACCTAGTTTCTCGTGTAATTAACATCTTACATAAGTATGGTACATGAAAAACATCAGGCAAATCTCAGTTGAGAAACATTCAACAGGATACTTGACCAGTACTGCTCAAAACTGTCCTAGTGGCCAGAAACAAGAAAGACTTGAGAAGCTGTTACAGCCAAGTGGAGCGTAAGAAGACATGATGGCTAATGTAATGTGGTGTCCTAGATGGAATTCAAGAGAGGAAAAGGGCATTAGGGAAAAACTGAGGAAATAAATCTGAATAAAGTGTGGACTTTGGTTAATATTCTTGTGTCAATATTGATTCTCATCAATTGTGACATGTTTACCATACTAAGGTAAGATGTTAATAACAGGGGAACTGTGAGCGGGGATATATGGGAATTCTCTATATGATCATATTACTTTTTCTGTGAATCTAAAACTACTCTAAAATAATTTTATTTGACAACAACAAAAAATCAGGTACTTCAAAACAAAACCGACCACAGCCACCCAAAGTGAACAGAGTCTTATGTCACGTGGCTGGTGGATTGAACTGCAGGTGGAAGTAATTTAACCTGTAGAAAGAGACATTTTAAACCATATCTTTCATTGAAATAAAAGTTTTTCAAATGGGAGATTAGATTAGTGAAGCATCTTATAAACGTTATCATGAATATCTGAATTAAAAGATGACACAGCAGAGTGAGAAGAATACAGGGAGACTCTGAAGTCAGTGTTAGAGACAAAACTCTTGGCTTCCCAATAGCATGACTCTTGGCAATATCATGAGATCTTTAGAACCTCCGTTTAGTCCCCATAAAGTGGGTATAATAATACCCACCTCTCACCATTGTAAGGCTGATTGAATGAGACTGTAGGTACAGCCCCCTACAAAGTACCTGGCACAGGAAAGCAATCGTTCCACCCAGGCAATTCTGAAATCTGTAAGACAGAAAACCAAGAAGGGCAGCTGGAACTTGGTGCCAGTGCAAGTTCAGGTGGAAGTCCTGCTTTTTCTGGGAATCCTCCTTTCTGCTCTTAAAGCCGTTCAACTGATTGGATCAAGCCCACTCAGACTATCTGGATAATCTCCCTTACTTCAAATCAAATTAATGTTACTCACATCTACAGAATGTCTTCCCAGAAACATCCTTATTAGTGTTTGATTGAATAATTGGGGACTAGAGCCTGGCCATGTTGACACCGAAAACTGGCCGTCTGTCTATTCCTTTCCTTCCTTCCTTCCTTCCTTCCTTCCTTCCTTCCTTCCTTCCTTC